GTCCAGACCGCGAGAGCGTGGATGCGGATGCGTTCCCTGAGATCCGACGTCGCGAGAAAATTGAAACATTGTTAAAATTCGCGACTGGAGCCCTAGACCCAATGTTTCTGCGCCATTTTTCCAGCCGGATCGATCTGTGATGGTCCCGGGGTCCAGAACCTGGCCAGACCGCCCGGCTCGAAAGCATTGAGACGCCAGGATCTCAGGGCTCGCCGCTCGCAGTTCACGTTCCGAGCCTTTCTCACGGCCACGTCTCGCCTCTCGCTGGCGCGGCTCCTCCGCAGGCGAGGCCGATGCCGCTGGCGAGGGCGCGGCGGCGCCGGAGCTGCTGGCCGCGGGGCTGCACAGGTACAGGCTTCTGTCGCAGGCGCCTGGGCCCTGCGCGGTCGGGGCAAACCGCGGGGCGTTCCAGAGAGGGCCTCGCCTTCGGGCGCCACGTCGTGTCGGTGCAGGCTACGCGGTACAAGCTATTCGGTGTAAGTTCTGTCGTGTAAGTTATGCGGTGCGATATCTCGTGTAAGTTGTGTCGTGTAAGCTATGTCGTGTAAGCTATGTCCTGTAAGCTATGCCGTGTAGGCTATGCCGTGTAAGCTCTCTCTCTCACTCTCTATATAGATGTACACGTATATATGTGTACCCCTTTCCCTATCAAGTGAGGGACCTCTTCCTTGCGGATGGCCGTCACATCATTTGGCCCCCTCCGATGCGTTCCGCACGACTCCAGGGCAGCTCCGAGGCCACCCAAAAATAGAGTCAGATCGGGCCACGACCGGCCCCTGATGGCCGAGAGTTCCGAGAGGGCTCGAACGCGGGCAATATGACCATCCATATCTAGTGCGTCTTCTGCGTCTTGGACGTTCTTGGAAGGGGCGCCGCAATGCCGAGGCGCATTGGATATGGATAACAATCGAGACTCGGGGGGCCAGATTTTTCCCGGACAGGGCTTAGGCCCAGGGTTTTCTTTTGGTAGGTAAACTTGTCCTTGGTGCCAAGTTCGAAGAGGGCCAGCAAATTGCTTTTGCGATAAATGACGAGGTCGAAGAGGGCTGGCAATTTAAATTCTGAGGATGTCCCGAGCGAAAGGCTAGTGTTGCAGAACGTGTTGAGGATGTCTCGAGCGAAACGCTTGTTTTGTGTCCTAGATTGTCCTCTCCTGGGGACCAGAATTCAGAGGATTTCTCAAGTGAAATGCCCACTGTCCCCTCCCGCTGTCCCCTCCCACTGTCCCCTCCCATTGTCCCCTTCCCGCTGTCCCCTCCCACTGCCCCCTCCCCCACTGTCCCCTCCCACTGTCCACTCCACTGCCCCCTCCCCCGCTGTCCCCTCCCACTGTCCCCTCCCGCTGTCCCCTCCCACTGTCCCATCCCGCTGTCCCCCCACTGCCCCCTCCCCCACTGTCCCCTCCCACTGTCCCCTCCCTCTGTCCCCTCCCGCTGTCCCCTCCGCCACTGTCCCCTCCCACTGTCCCCTCCCCCGTCCCCTCCCCCACTGTCCCCTCCCACTGTCCACTCCACTGCCCCCTCCCCCGCTGTCCCCTCCCACTGTCCCCTCCCGCTGTCCCCTCCCACTGTCCCATCCCGCTGTCCCCTCCCACTGTCCCCTCCCACTGTCCCCTCCCGCTGTCCCCTCTCACTGTCCCATACCTGTCCCCTCCCGCTGTCCCCTCCCGCTGCCCCTCCCCCACTGTCCCCTCCCACTGTCCACTCCACTGCCCCCTCCCCCGCTGTCCCCTCCCACTGTCCCCTCCCGCTGTCCCCTCCCACTGTCCCATCCCGCTGTCCCCTCCCGCTGTCCCTTCCCCGCTATCCCCTCCCCCACTGCCCCCTCCCCCACTGTCCCCTCCCACTGTCCCCTCATACTGCTGTCTCCTCCCGCTGTCCCCTCCGCCACTGTCCCCTCCCACTGTCCCGTCCCACCGTCCCCTCCCCCACTGTCCCCTCCCTGTCCCCTCCCGCTGTCCCCTCTCACTGTCCCATACCGCTGTCCCCTCCCGTTGTCCCTTCCCGCTGTCCCCTCCCCCACTGTCCCCTCCCGCTGTCCCCCCCGCTGCCCCCTCCCAGATTATCCCCTCCCCAACTGTCCCCTTCCGCTGTCCCCATCCACTGTCCCCTCCCCCATTGTCCCCTCCCACTGTCGCCTCCCGTTGTCCCTTCCCACTGTCCTCTCCCGCTGTCCCCTCCCGCAGACCGTGGTTGCCCCAGGGTGCGTTTGGGCAAGAATTTCGAAATGGGCCCAGCCGGGACTGGGGGAGGGGACAGTGGGGGAGGGGTCGATGTGGGAGGGGACAGCGGGAGAGGACAGCGGGAGGGGACAGCGGGAGGGGACAGTGCGAGGGGACGGCGGGAGAGGACAGCGGGAGGGGCCCCCAAGGCCAGTATGCAACGACGCGCGTGCGACGACATGCGACCACGTCTACGACGCCGCGCGACGACGACAGTCGGGAGAAAGAGGGGCGGATGGGACGGCCGATCACCTCCCACACTTCCTCTTTTACCCTCCCGGCCTTCCGATTTCGATTTCGATCCGGCTTGCCGTGATCCAGTTTCCGATTCGATCGATCCGATTCGGCCCTGCCGACATTTGTCGATCTCGACTTGGCTGCCGACTTCTGCCGACTCCTGCCGATTCGATCCTCGGGTCGATCCGATTTGACTTTCCGATTCAATGCTGCGGCCACCTGGAGAGCGCCCAGCGTCCCCCACCCTGGCCCCTGGAGCAAAACACGGCCGTCGACGTGAGCCAAACATTTGTTCGGCCCCTGGGGTGGGTCTTCGCGCCTGGACATGATCACCCCGTATAGGCCAGTCGACGCGCGCCTGGGCCCCGCGCCGCCTGGCCGCCCGGGCTCCCCGCCACAGCGACCAGGGCACGGCTTCCGGCACGACCGCCAGCACGACCACCAGCGCGACCACCAGCACGACCACAAGCACGACCATCAGCACGATTTGGGTCACCGAGCGCGTTCCATTGTTCGCAAAGTGCCTACTCGCAAACGTCCGACAACAAAACATGTGTCTGCCTCGATGGCATGTATCGTCAATCCCCCATGGCGGATCCAGGCCATTTGCGAGTAGGTATTTGCGAGTGGTGGGACGCGCTGGTCTATTGGGGGCGCCGCCTCCAGCACGATCACCAGCACGACCGCCCACCAGCACGGCAACCAGCACGACCACCGGCCCGACCACCAGCACCACCACCAACAACACCACCAGCACGACCACCAGGACGACCACGGCGGGTCGCGGCACCGTTGACGGGGGCCACCGATATCTTGGCGCTCATCCAGCGCTCGGGGACCTCGTGGCAGGTCGGGCTCTCCCTATTTCCTTCTCCTCCTCCCCCGTCTCTCCCCCCCTTCCCGGACACCGCCCAGTCGACGGCAAAACCGCCAGCACGACCATTAGCACGACCACGAACGAGAGCAACACCACGACCGCCAGCCCGACCAACCACAAGCATCACCACCAGCACGACCACAAACATCACCACCATCACAGCCAGCACAACCACCGGCGCGACTTCCAGCACGAGCACCTGCACGACCACGAGCACGACGACCGACACAATTGCAGCTCGTGATGCGTGAGATGTGGCACGCGCAAGCCAACCATATTAGAGCCACCGAAACCAAAACATACCCACCCACCCGGTAACAGTCAAGTTCACGACACAGATCGAAACAGATTTCCCCAAGAAATCCACCTAGTTGACGAGCGCACCACATCATGTAGATCATATACCGCGGTGTTATACGATATCCGCGCTCCTGCGCAGAGGATGCGGATAAGGGACAAGATGTAGTGGCGAAGCGAAGCGAGCCAACAATATCTTGTTTGCATAAGCGTGTAGGTATGAATATGCACGTAGCGGTCCAGTCTGTTCGCGTCACAAAGGCGTTGTACTGGAGTTGGAGCGGCCATCATGGCCAACACCGGGTCACACAGCCCCGCTGGGTCACGAGGCCAAAACGTGGTCACTCCAGGCCCGCTGGGCTCCCGAAGGCGCCGCCGACGTTTCCAGAAAGAGAGAGAGAGAGAGAGGTCGCACAACATGCCCGCCAACACGGGTGTGTGACGGCCGCAAGTTGACAACGCTACAAAGTAGTCTCGGCCATATCTGCATGTGTATATATATTCTCATTTCTAAAAACAGTAGGATCTACCCCCCCCCGGCGTTATCGCTACCCCTTTCGGGTATGTAAATCACATACGATTATGACCACATGTCCATCCTAAGTATGAAATCACAATGTCCCAGGCCAACCGGTATCCCCCCCTGAGGGCCCCTGGTAAAAAAAAACACTATGCGGTGACATTGTTTGTTCTAACATGGCATTTTTTCGCGAAGCTCTTGCAAACAATTTGACGAAGTGCACACGCGCGCGTCGTCGCGCGCGCATGCCGAAATCCTTCAAAAACCTTCGGTGCCGGAAGGATTTCGCAATCGAGTTTCCAAAAAGACATACGAAAACATAGGGTTTCGCAACACTGATTTGCTAAAAAAGCTTCCGCGCGAGCTCTTGCGAAATCTTAGAAAACCATAGGTTATTCAAGATTTTCACAAAATGCTATTAAACGGGCTTCGCGCGCGCGCATGTCGAAATCTGTCGAACGCCCTTGCGCGTGTGCCGTCGCGAGAATCCTCTGCAAAAAATGGGACGAAGTGCAGACGCGCGCGTCGTCGCGCGCGTATGCCGAAAACCTTCAAAACCCATGGGTTTCGGAAGGATTTCAAAGTCGTGTGTCCAAAAAACCTACAAAAACACAAGGTTTCGCAACACGGATTTTCAACAAAAGCGTGCGCGCGCGCTCTTGCGTCGTCGTCGTCGTCGTCGTCGTCGTCGCCGTCCTCCCTCCTCCCGCGTCGTCGTCGTCGTCGTCGTCGTCGTCGTCGCCTACGTCGTCCTCTGTCTTTCCTCGTGTTCGTCGTCGTCGTCCTCTTTGGCGACGTGGTCGTTTCCGTCGTCGTTGTTGCCGTGGTCGTACTTTCTCCTTCTCCCTCGTCGTCGTCGTCGTCCGTCGTCGGCGTCTCGTCGTCGTCCCTCCTATTTCGTCGCCGTCGTCGTCGTCGCCGTTGTCGTCGTCGTCTTCCCTCCTCCCTTGTCGTTGTCGTCGTCGGCGCCGCCGTCCTTCCTCCTTCTTCGTCGTTCGCGTCGTCGCCGTCCTCCCTCCTTCCTCGTCGTTGTCGTCGTTTTCGTCGTTGTCGCTGTCGTCGTCCTTCCTCCTCCCTCGTCGTCGTCTTCGTTGGCGACGTCGTCGTCGTCTTCGTCGTCGTCAGCGTCGGCGTCGTTGTCGTCGTCGAAGTCGTCGGAGACGTCGTCGGTGTCGTCGTAGTCGCCGTCGTCGTCGTCGTCGTCGTCGGCGTCGT